GTTCAAGGGTACTCTTCTAATAAAACATGTCTAGAATATTGTTGAGTGTAGACAACCCTTTTCTCTACTCTCAATACACACAGCCTTATCTGCTGGTGATCATTCATAAACCAGGAAGTTTGGGTACTGTAACTGAAGTTAGAAAGAAGAGTGATACTGGATGATAGGCTAGAGGGGAAACGGGTACAATTGACTTTGTCAGTCTGGGTGACATCTGATGTGAATGTTCTTTGAATGACTTTGTCAGATGTGGCCAAGTGGGGAGTTGGAGGTGGAGGTAACAAAATGAGTGAGTCCTTCTTGACACTCAGTGCTGACAGACTGCCTTCAGGGTGCCTGGGCTGCTCTGGTATAGTGGTGCATTCAGAATTTGAGAGGTAGAAAAAATTGGGGAACATTCTGGTGGCAGAGGAGTCACCAGATTGTCATCAAGATTGTGCCATTATTGGGAGAGGTTGCCAAGTCCATTGGCCTTAGACTTGGGGAAGAAGGTATATTTTCACTAGAAAGACTGCTAGTTGACACCATTCAAACTTGACTATTTTGGATCATCACCAGGACATGGGTCTGTTTTGTCCTTTATTATATCACCAGTGCCTAATATAGTACATGGCAACAAGTAAGTGCTTAATAAATATTGGTTGAGTGAACTGATTATTCCTCATACATTTATCTCTTTTAGCCCTCAGGACCAAATGAATAATGATAATGTTCATATAGCCAATTTGTAAAGTCTGGTTTTCATAATCAGTTTCAATTTATCATCTCAATGGTCCAGTGAAGCAGATTTTTATCATCATTCTTTTTTTTTTCCTTTTTTAACGGTACTGTGGATGGGACCAGGGCCCCACACATGCTAAGCATATGCTCTACCACTGAACCACACTCCCAGCTCATCATTCCTCCTTTATAGGAGATGTTGCTAAGGTCCAGAATAGTCAAAACGTGCTAAAATCACCCACTGAATAAGTAGAAAAGACTGAAATACATGTGCTTTATCACCTACAAAGAGTTGTACTGATATGGTGATAATCAGGTTGTGACTTAAAATATAAGAAGCCCTTATGGCTGCCAGGCACAGTGGTGCATGCCTGTAACCCCAGCAGCTCTGGAGGCTGAGGCAGGAGGAATACAAATTTGAGGTCAGCCTCAGCAACTTAGCAAGACCCTGTCTCAAAATAAAAAATGAAAATTAAGAAAAAAAAAAGGTCTGGGGATGAAGGTAATTCGTAAAGCACCAATTTCACAGTACACAGAACAAAACAAACAAAGCCTTATGGCTGGGAAATGGTAGTATCTACAAAGGTGGCGTACATCCGGGTAAGACCTACATCTTCAGACAGGAAACAGGAATAAGGAGGGCAAGTTTTACACAAACAGACAGTATTCAGTAAACTCTGTATTTTCTGAGTCCCTGCTCTTTGCTAGACACTGTACTTTGGATACAACGGTAAACAAGAAGCAGAAAAATGAGTTCTCTCAGGTGGTGGCAGGTGCTGAAATGGTATCCACTACATAGGAGGCTCATAAGGACTCAGGTTGGGATGAAGCCTGCGATACTCCTCCAGGGTTCTAAGACCTGGTTCCAAATTGTCCAGGAATTTTTTTTTTCAACAGTCTCCCTGACTTGACTCTTGTTTTTATTATTTATTTATTTGTGCTGTGAATGGCACCCAGCACCATGTGTATGCTAGGCAAGTGTTCTACCTCTGAGCCACTTCCCCAGTCCAGAAATGTGTATTTTAATTTTTCAAATATTTTAGTTGTACATGGACCCAATACCTTTATTTATTCTTATGTGGTGCTGAGGATCAAACTCAGTGCCTCATACATGCTAGGCAAGTGCTCTACCACTAAGCCACAACTCCAGCCCAGAAGTCTGTATGTTAACACCCATTTCAGATGATTCTGATGCCCAGTCAGGTTTGGGAGCCATGGCCATAGGTAAGCTAGAGAATCACATTCTACATTATTGGCTTCTTTTCTTGGCTCCTTTTTTCTTCTCCAACTTTTAGTTAGCAAGTTCTACCCTGATCTCAGCTATAAGGCCTCTACAAGAGACATACTTGGACCAGAATATTAAAGAGTGGCGGGGGGTGATGTTCACCACACCCCCTAAGCCAATGAGGTAACCAGAAAAACATGCCCCTTAGGCAAGGAGTATGTTCTGGAACCCAAAGCCATACTGCAAGGCCCATGATCCCCTTTCCAAGAGGAGACTTCCTTCAAGGCCAATTTAGAGACCTTGAGTTTTGTTTAATCAAAAAAGGTAGTAATTCCTTTACAGTAAGTCTTGAGTCTAGGTCCTCTGGCTCCAAATCCTTTTCCCCATTCTTTCTATCTTCTATTTGCAGCCTTCTGACTTAAGATCTTAAAGTGGACTAGTTAGAGACACGAACTGTGGGTAATGCACAGGCATGGGAGCACCTCAACCTCACACCTGTTCAGAGCCCTATTATTGTTTTTGAAAATAATAATTTTTTCTTTTCAGTTGTACATGATAGTAGAATCCATTTTTATACACAAGTATATCGAGTATACAAGCATAAAATATATCTTATCCTAATTAGGATCCCAGTACCCCTCCTTCCCCTTCACTTTCCCTACCCTTGCTCCTTTCCCTCTATTGATCTTTCTGCCATTTACCCATAAGAACTTTTTAAACTTATGGTTGAGCATTTCTTTAATCCTACATCCCAGTAACAGTTGTGAATGCTTATTATGAGGTAGGAGAGCCCATGGGAGGATCTATAGAAGCTCAAGGGAAGGGCAGAGCCTGAGATTCTAAGGGAAGGAACTTGGGAAAGTTCAGATAGAGTCCAAAGATCAACAGTTGATGATGCCTGAGGATTAGAATGATCAAGCTTCTTGTTTTCCTGGGATAATCTCAGTTTATGCCTCCTGTCCATGAGTGTCATGACTACCCTCCCCTTGTCAATTTGGCTTAGTCATGCAACAAATGATATGTCCACCCTAAAAAGGGAGGGACTGGAACCTTCTTTACCTATTGCTTTTTTAAATATTTTTTTAATTGTCAATGGATTTTTTACTTTATTTATTTATTTATATGTGGTGCTGAGAATCGAACCCAGGGCCTCACACATGCCAGGCAAGCATTCTACTGCTGAGCCACAACCCCAGCCCTCCCTGTTGTTTTTATCCAGTTTGCCACTGTGAAAAGGAACAACTTTCAGATATCAGGGTGGTTAAGCTCCTTGAAGGCAAGGACTGCCTTGTGATTGATTTTTTTTTTAAATAATAAGAACCTGTCATATTAATTTTTAAAATAAGATCACAAACTTTATTATGCACAGTACAAAGAGAATGTCTAATAAATTAAGACCTACCATGTGATTGAATTCAGTTCTCTCAGCACCTAGCTATAGGTATGAATTTATGCTTCTTGCCCTACCTACCGTGGATACAGTTCCCTTCTGACCAAACCTTTGCCACATCAGTACTTTAATGATTGCACTGACATCTGGTGGTCATTTCCAGGTCTTTTTTTTTTTTCTGGGCAGTTCCTGCACTAGATGATGGATCAGTCTGTACCTCATACTCTATCAAAGCAATTTTTATCTGAGCCCTACACTGACTAGACATGACAACCCTAATACTTAATAAGTTGTTGATAGCTGGTAACAGATGTTTTTTCCTCAAGAAATACTCACAGAAAGGGATGATAGTGTAGAAATGACTCACGATAAAATCATAAATAACATCAAGAACTTAACTTCAGGGCTGGGGTTGTGGCTCAGTGGTAGAGCACATGCCTAGCAAATGTGAGGCCCTGGGTTTGATTCTCAGCACCACATATAAATAAATTATAAAAAAAAAACACTGAAGTTCATGGTGGGATTTAGGTTTGTGAGGGAGTTATTTTTACATAGAGATGTTCTTCCTGAAATGAAACCAAGTAGGCCAAAGGCTTTCAAGTTCTTTGTAGTAGCAAAATATTGAGTCAAATCCAACGCAGATGTGATCAAATGTTTGGCTAGAGAAAACTCTTAAACTTGGATCCATGGCAAACTGCCTTATCAGTAGTGTTTGGCTAACAAGGACAGGGAGAGAGAGTGGAGGAGGTGGCTGATGTGGGGAAAATAGCAAGAAAGTAGAAAAGCCATACTTCAAAGTATAGCTGTTCTTTTATTTTCTGGGTTCCAGAGATGTGTGGAAAGGGAATGGCTTCCTATTCAGTCACCTCTCCATGCCCAATCCCACTGTCACTACAGGTCACTACAGAGGGCTTTCCACAGGACATATTTTATTCCCAACACACCATGAAAAGGATACTAAGAACCCTGGCATTCACTAGAGGAATATTTTAATCCCCAATCGCCCTCTTCATTTGAAGGGACTGTAGGCAAGAACCCAGTCAAAGTCCATGAGCTTATATCATTAAAAGTTCAAAAAGAGAAAGAGGAAAAAAAATATAGCTCCCAGATTGTTTTCATGTCCTCAGGAAGGTATCACCAATGTATGAGACAGAACATTTAACTAGGTATAATGAATGATGACATTCTTTGCCATGGATTCCAGGTATCTGGAATGTCTTAGAAAACATAAGCTATCCTTCAAGGGCCTCCTTCTAGTAAAAAAAAAATGTAAAAATAAGTATTTAACAAGCCTTTGTTTTTAAACGTGAGCCTCAGCCTGGTGCAGTGGCGGTGCCTGTAATCCCAGTGGTTTGGGAGGCTGAGGCAGGAGGATCGAGAGTTCAAAGCCAGCCTTAGCAGTGTTGAGGCACTAAGTAACTCAGTGAGACCTTGTCTCTAAATAGAATACAAAACAGGGCTGGGAATGTGGCTCAGTGGTTGAGTGCCTCTGAGTTCAACCTCTGGTATCAAAAGAAAAAGAAAAATGTGAACCTTACAGTTAGAGTGTGCAGTTCCTTTCTATACTACCCTCCCCCAAGCCCCACACCCGCTCCCATGTTTTCTTTTATGGTCAGAAGTCAGCAGCTACAAAGTTTAGGGTCTTCAAAAACACACCAGACACCATGCTGGATAAGGCTGTGCTTTATTACATGCATAATTACAAATATGTGCTAAGTGAAAATGTATAAAGCAATGGCGACCTGGATTTAAGCCACACAGAGAAAGGGCTGGATGATCCCATCAACCCTTCTGCCAATGTCCATTCCATTGCCATTAACATGATTGTTTCCATTTCTTACAATTTGCATAGCACTTACTTGTCAAAGTACTTTCAATTCATTGTCTCAGTTTATCCTCACAACAACCCTGTGAGGTAGGTAGGGCAATTAACACTATCCCCATTTTGCAGATGGGAACACTGAGGCACAGAGCGGTTAAGATCTCGAGGCTAGTTAGTAGAAGCATAGGGAATAAAAACCAGGTCTCCAAACTCCCCAGTCCATATCTTCCTCTTTACACTATGTCACTATGCATGACCAGGGAGCAGGACAAATTGAGCAGTGAGCCACAGCTTTGGTTCAGGCTGTGCGTCCGAATAAGCAAGTGAGGATAAAGCTAAGAAAGCAAGGCTACAGGGTTGGCAACACTCAAATGACTGCTCTGAACAGCTCAGCACCAAGCTTCCCCTGGCAACAGGCTCCATAGGCTTTGGTTGAAGCTAGCTTCGGGATGCCAAGCTAGTGCTGATGTCTATACATTAGCTTCAGCTGAACTTTGACCAACACTCAGGAATTAAAACTTCCAGACAGGTTTTCTTTGGCTACTTCACTTGGAGCCAGCACTACAAATGAGCTTATTACAGAGATATTCACATAGTGGCCCGTGGGCTGGAACCCAGCCCCTCTGACCCTCCTGGCCTTAGTGGCTCACCCAATGGCTGGTATACTTCCCATAGCCAGAAATGAATGGGCAGAGGTATGAGCAGGAGGCTGGTCTTGGTCAAATGAAGAAGATTCACCATCATGACATTGTTGTCACCCTTAGGTGACATGACCAAGATGCTGTCGGGCCCATTGCCTTTCTGGCCTGTACCTGGTTAGCAGCATAGCTTCTAAAGATAGTTTAAGAAAACAAAATATTAAACATATTTTATCATGAATGGAATAAATTCATAATCATTATAAGTCCCAATGGACCAAATACATAATAAAAAAGTAAATACTTATATAAAAAGCTGAGTACTAAAAAGGCAGGTTGAGGGGGAAGAAAGGGAGTACAAAGAGGGGACAACATGAAATGGAAGAGGGAAAAGGCGCATTCTGGAAGGATCATGTAATCTGAGGTACCCTCAATATGATAGTGAGGCTGAATATTCCCACCCTAGAAAAATCATCACAGGCCCTGCCTTCTTCTCCATTTTGCCAGTTGGCATTTCCCTCACCAAATCCTAGGATTGTCCATGAACTCCAACAGATGTAGACTAGTAGAAATAATGAGGTTTAGCAATGAATACTTCATGGGTCTGCCTGGAGGTGCTAAAGCCCTTAGCCTTCCTGACAAGTGTCTGTGGCTTTAGCCCCAATGGAGCAAAGTGCCCTTGGCCCCATCAATTTAGGAGAAGCTTCCATGTTCTTTTCTTAGAATCATCCTTTCTCTCCCTTACAATGCCCACATTCAAAACAATTTACTTGTCAAAATGGATAGAAATTTGAATTCAAGGCATGATGGAGGGACAGACAGAAGAGAGAAAAGGAGGGCGAGGGAGAGAGGCAGGAATTGTTTTTTGTAAACTCTCATTTTTCTATCATCATATACCATTTCTCCTTAAAAAGCCAAACTCTAGGCAAAGCATTCATTCAATGAGTGTCACACAGACGCTGGAGGCCTTTGGTAGGAACTTAGAGGTAGGAATCTATGACTGTAAGATTGGGTTGGGTGATCTGATAGGTCCCATCATGGAAAAGCAAACTCTGCACATTCCTTCCTTCCTTCCTTCCTTCCTTTCTTGGGTGATTTGGCAAAATCAGATTACACCGTGGAAAAGCTACTTCCATTGACTGTATCTCTTCAAAACTTTGCCCAGATCCAGATGTTTAGAAATGAGAATGTAGCCAGCAAATGCTGGAGGTGTAACTTCAAGTTGCTAACACCCACCCACTTTTCCCAGAACGTCTCTCCTTAGAGCAAACAACTGAAACTGAAGCAGAGCAAATTCCGGCCATCACTCAAGGTCCCTTGCACTGACTGAACTTCAAATTTACACATTTCCTGAGCTTTCATCTGAGGAACTCTCATCTCTTTCTTTTCAATATATATAATACACACAGAGTAGGGAGCTAAAATATAAATGTAAAGAAAGTTTATCATTAAGATGGTGCAAATGTCCTGGAGAGGCCTCTCTGAAGGTAGGCCCTTGAGCCAAAATGACTTTGAACCTCTAGTTTGCTTAGAAAGCACAGCTTCGGGGGATTGCTTGACTTTGTATCTCCATGAAGTATATGATCAAGCACTTTCTGTTCATCCCAATGCCAGGATGCATGGCATGGGGTATGGGAATGCCTTTCTTCTACCTTCTTACTTAGTTCCCTTTACTTCTTACATAGTTCATATACTTTCTCACCCAGACTTTTCTATTGTCCTCACTTTCAAATCCTTCCCCAAAAGAAATCCAGGTAATCCCAGAGGTGATTTTTTTTAAAAATAATGTTTTAGAATATTTTAATTCGGCTCACGTAGTTAGAGTATTTTTTCTGGGGAGGGAGGTGTACTGAAGGTTGAACCTGAGGCCTTACACATGCTAGAGAAGCACTCTATTACTGAGCGATATCCCTGGCTCCTTTTAAAATTTCTTTTGTCTCGGGGTCTGGCTAAGTTGCCCTAGCCAGCCTTGAAGTTGTGATTCTCTGGCCTTAGCCTCCCAAGAGAAATTTGTTTGTTTCTTTTTTTAAAAAAGGATTCTCACTCTTCCTGTAAAGGATTTACATTTAGCCTTGGGTGTCAAAGCAATTTGTTTTGAAGTTCAACCAGAAAATTAATCATTTCCTCTACCAGCTTGCAAATTCAAAGTATAGTCAATGTCAGATAATCCACCAGATTTGTGGATCATATCATTTCTGCTCTATAGCAGGGCTAAGCCAGGATGCTGGAGCCAGAGAAAGAGGAGAGCATTGCAACTCGTTTCTAATTAAACAACAAAAGAGAAATAATCTTTACCATAGCCATTATTTTGTATAATCAGTCCCCTACTTCTCGTCTTTGGTTTAACTCCTCATGCACTAATTTTTTTCAGCTTCCTTAAATTATTTAAATTGGAGAGCTGAAGATACAAAATATAGCAATTAGGTTTTTACAAATCTATGAACTCTCACTCTTTTCATGGCTGGATGGCTACCAGATATCTGTCCCTGGAAAATCCGAACTCAGCTGAAGCACTTACTAGTATTCCTTTGTAAACTCTTCCCTTGTAGCAGGTATTTTCTAATCCCAAATAGACTAGCCTCAATTCATTCATTTTAAAAATTACAAATAATCTAGTCTTTTGCCACTGAGGTGACCACCTGAGTCAACTGACAGACCTCCATATACTGGCTTTGTTTTTCTGGTTAAGTATGTCTAACTGCTGAAATGGCATTGGCAGGAAGAACATTTTCCTTTACCTCAAGACAAGAAACTCTTGAGTGTCATGGTGCTGAGCTAGTAGTTTTGTATAGCTCTTTAGCCACAATTAGCCAAACTTTGAGCCAAACCCTAGGATTGGACATATACTGGACACCATGCATTATAGCTACTTCTAGAGTATGAGCTACAAGGATTCCTGAGAAACTGAGGTTAATGAATGAGATTTATCAGGAATGAGGTATCAAAGGGACATTGTCATTCTCTGGAGGGCCAATCGGTGCTTAGCATCTAAAGTATACCTTGGCACAGTGTTATCTGATTTCTTGAATTTATTCTCTGAATTAGCACCTTAACACTGGCTCATCTATCTAAAAATGAAGAACAGAGCGTAGAAGAAACAAAGGCAAACAAGACACCCTCCATGTCACTGCTCCATGTTAAAATATGTCCAAACCTCCCCTTGCCACCAAACACCAGAAACAGTCATGTTTCCCATTTTGCAAACTTTAGTGGGCAACGACAGCTAATGAGACACATATTCAACCAGAAATATACACATAAGAACTTTGTTCTCTACACAATATACAGGGTGGTCAGGCAAAGAGTCATCTCACAGGAAAGAAACAGTGGCATGGAAGGGACCAAAGGACATAAAGCTATTGAGCCATGACTATGATAACAATGTACCCTGGAGCATGTTTTTTTTTTCTTTTTCATTAAAATGCTAGAGTGATATACTTAAAAGGATAAACTCTGGTGGTTGCCTTTATATTTTTAAAGATAAAAATCAGAACAAGCCTTGGCTACATAGCTCTAAGCAATAAAAGAATTTCAGATCTTGGAAAGATAAGAAGTAGGGGTAAAAAGTCCTAGACTCAGGAATCAACAACTTTTAAAATGAGGTACACTGAGGTGATTGGGGATTGGGTCTAGGGGAATGTGCTGAGTGATTGCTGATTCTGGGCTAGAAGGATGGGAGGAAGTGCTGGGAAAAGACTTAAAAAATGCAGTCTCACTGTGCCATGGGCATCTGGTGCAGAAACAGAAACATGGCGGCAGCAACTGGGCCACATGGCAAAGAAAAGGGCTGTGTATCGCCTCTAGTCCATGTGTCATATGATTGCTGAGCCTTGGTTTACCATTTACCTAGCCCTAGAAGTTATTATTAGGAATGATTGACCAGCCATAGTGCTCGACCTCAAAGGGAGGATTCAGTACTGAAGAGTAAGAAGGGGAACAGAATGGAAAGGGAGTAATTGCACGTGGGTAAAACTATATAGAAAAAGAAATAGTGGTTGGAATGATGGTGGTGGCTCTTTAATTCCACCAGGTGTCCCTATAGTGTAAATTGTTTAAAACTGTTCTAAGTGTGGTAGGAAATTGAGACAGGCACCTTTTCAATTGGATACAAGCACCTTTGGTGTCACCAGGTCTTGTCCACACCCCTGGGTCTTAGGATGGATTTGCCTTTTGGAATTTTAAGGACCCCCAAGGGAGTCACAGTTGCCCATTCTGTTCCAAAGCTTTGTATATATTTGAAAGTATCCCAAGCCTAATCCATGCTCATGGGGACAGCTGGCCTGTTATGAGTACTTCACACTGGGAGGAGCATGAGTGTCAGTTATTTCAATCCTGGTGGTCTTTACAAAGGAATGCATGAGGATGTTGACGCAGCTCTGAATCTTCCCTGGTTTACCAGTATGCAGTCCAGACTTAGTTCCCTTTACTGTTCTTACATATTCCAGAAGCCTAAAGCACCATCATTCGTGGAGGTGGCATCTGGTAAGGGTTTCAATTAGGACCTCACAAAAATGTGAAATTCCTAGTCTTTGACTTTGCTTAGAACTTTACTCATCATTCATTTCAAGGAAGCTGGAAGAAATCATTCGTTGCTACAAATTCATGGCAAAGTCCTTGTCTACTAGCTAACAGATACCATCTGGAAAATTACCATTTTTTTTTTTTTTGCAGACAAGGAGAAAGCTCTATAACTTATCTTTGTGCACTTCAAAAGAGTACCAGGAACAAGCAAGCTATAAAAGTCAACCTCTCTCAATTCATTTAGAGGAGATTAACTAAAGCAGCATTGTCTTATAATCAGAAATTAAAATTAACATACATAAACAGAACAAACTAATAATGCTAAATATTGTAACAGGAACAAGAATAACATTTGAACTGAATCTTCACAGTCTAGAGAATACCATTACTATTTTCCTTCTGGCTTTCCTTTTGGTGGTTTGAAAAGCAAAGCCCCTTAGTTTACACTTCATCTTCCACCAATGACAGTTAGATCCACCAAAAGTAACTTTTTCATGAGTTTCCTGCAGGCTATAAGTCAGGACGGTTGGAATTTTTCTTGCATAGTTTTCAGTGATTGCATATTGGCTAACGATTACTTTTAAATTAAAAAAATATTTTTAAAAAAACAAATATAATTAAACCATAGCAATCTTGTTTACTCTTTCATGAAATCTTCCTAATGCAGTATCACAGAAGCCTAACTGTATTTTCTCCTAAAGAGAAGATTAATTTCCAGAGATTATGTAGTGCAACTGGTTAACTTGTAGGAAAGAGACAACACACTAATATGACTTCACCATCCAAATATGGGAAATGTGTTTTGGGTACCCAGTTAATAAAATATATCCATGGTCTGCAATGTCCTTCCTGTTTTATATCCAGAACAACCCCATGATTCTAGTTGAAGAGAATGGAATCAGGATCTTGATTCGCCATCTGTGCTATATGCTTTAACACATCCTTTTTGGTAATGATTCCAAGCAAACGCCTAAAAGACAAACACAATTCGACAAAACAAAAGTAAATCTACAGTTAAAACAACATTCCCAAAAGATGACACTTGTCCTCCCCAGTCTTTTTCAACTTTGCCTTTAAATACTATCTGCACTTCCAGAATGTTGAGACAACAGGAGTTGGATGCATGTTCCAGACAAACAGGACGATGCACAAGTCCCTAAATATATGTGAGAACTTCCACATCTGGGTCTCAGGTCCTGCAATTTCCTCTGCTCTATATATTCTCTAAATATATGAATCTTTCTTACTTACTGCAACCCAGTCCAAATGTTCCTCTTCCAGAAACTTTCCTGATCCTATAAACCAGTAATAACTGTTCTGCTCCCAGCAACAGCATGTTTTGTGCAGGCCTCTTCTATAATAGCTGCCCTCTTTGCTACTTTCCTATAACCACTTGTGTATCCTGCATTCCTCCGTAACACTGCAGACTCCTTGAGGACAAAGAAGGGTATTATTTATTTTTGTATTTCCACAGAATCCATAATACCTTCTTACATGAAGTAGGGATTCAGTAACTGTTGAATGAACCAGTTAAGGAGAGCCCCCTTACTGATTTAGATTCTGCTAGACATCAGATATGGCACTTGAAAATTTTAGAGGAGGGAGCAGCCAGGCATGATGATGCACACATGTAACCCCCCCCCCCCAGCTACTCAGGAGGCTGATGCAAAAGGATAACAAGATTGAGGTCAGCCTCAGAAATTTAGTGAGAACATATTTCAAAAGTCAAAAAAGGCTGGGGATATAGTTCAGTGATAGAACACTTGCATGTACAAGGCCATGGATTTGATCCCCAACACCACACACACACAAAAAAAAAAATTAAAGGAGGGGGAAATTCTTATGTAGCAGCTGGATGAATACAGCAGAAAAATGTTCAGAAAAAACTCCACCCTTCTCCTCTCCCGCCTCTGTTTTCCAGTAAAAACTGCAGGACTTCCTTTACTGGACAAGAAATATCCTGGGAAGGAAAGAGCCATGGACTTTGGAGTCAGAAGATTTGTGTTTCAAGCTACCTCTATTGTTTATTAACTGGGGACCTTCACGTAAATCGTTAGACCTCACTGAAACTTGGTTTTCTTGTCCTCAAATAATAAGAACAAAGGATTGTAAGGGCCAAATACAATAGACTCCTTTAAATTGTGGTTTCAGTTATCCATGGTCAACCATGGTCCGAAAACAACGCAGTGCCATATTTATTGTTATTATCTCTTACTATGCCCGATTTATAATTCGAACTTTATCATAGGTATAGGGAAAAATATAGTCTTTTTTCAGGGGCAGGGTACTGGCAATTAAACCCAGAGGAACTCTACCACTGAGCTACATATCAGACCTTTTTTGTTTTTATTTTTTTAAGACAGAGTCTTGCTCAGTTGGTGAGGCTAGTCTCAAATTTGTGAACTCCTGCCTTAGTCTCCCCAGTTGCTGAGGTTACAGGTATGCACCATGGGACCTGGTAGGAAAAAAAAAAGTTTTATATAGGGTTCAGTACTATTTGCAGATTCAGGCATCTGATGGCGGTCATGGAAGGTATCCCTGAGGATAAGGGGAACTCTTGTTCTATACATATCCTACCTGATACCATTACAATTTCAGTGCTGCATGAGAACACAGCTATTTCCTTTGTAGGTGAGGAACTCAGTTATTGATAATATGCATCTACTACTTTCAAATACATTCTCTTCCCCAAATTCCTTTTCTACTAATTATGATGATCAAAGTAACATATCTATCTTTATCTCAGAGCTTCAAAATGTACTACTAATGTTCATTTACACTGGATTTTTCTTTTTATTTTTCTGTCTCCATATTCTCTTTATTCCCACAAAGCAATTTGTCTTCGCCCAAGAGTTCTTACCCATTGTGTGTAACCAGGCACTGTCGCAATCCCAGCTTGCGGAAGATATCCACTACGATCTCCATGGGTGTCAGGTCAGTCACAGTGAAGGGGCTGAGATCCAGGATGTTCCGAAGCTTCAGGGTAGGTGGAGTGTATGGTGGCATTGGAGGAGAATGCTCAGTGAAATAAATGATGGAAGTGCTCACAACTCCATCCTGTTTCTTCCGAGCATTTTCTATTTGAACAGAAAAGGGGGAAAGTTGAAAACAAGAGTGCTAGTTCAATCATTCTGGCCCCTAACCAGTCCTTTATTCCCTGTCCTCCCCCATTTTGTGCTGATTTTTTGAGTTACATAGTAGATTCTATGATTTCCTCTCTAAGATACTTACCAATTGAAATAATGAGATCTCTTCGGAGGACAAAGCCTACAAGTCTTTGAGACTCCCGGGACACCACCACTGGGAAGCCACTGTAAGTGGTTTCACTGATTATGGTTTCTACATCTTCCACAGTCATACTGTCCTGAGTCAGGACAGTCAACAAAGGATCATTTCTCCGGGGTTTCATCACATCCATTGCCAGGGTCTTATGAGCAAACTCTTCTTTGGCTTCAAGAAAGGGGTATCCGTTGAGACGGATATGGGCGTCATAAATGCCCTCCCGTCCAAGTGCATCTGCCACCCACTTGCTTGTCATGGCTGCAGCCATCAGAGGCACAATATATTCCAAGCCGCCAGTCAGTTCAAACATTATGACAACAAGAGAAACAGTCATCCGAGTCACACCCCCTGCAAAGAAATCGACACAGGCTATTGAAGGGACACAAAGCACAGGATTCATTCCAATTATTGGCCTGTCACAGGCTCCAAACAGGAAAAGCTACTTACCAGAACTAATGCTAGAATGGAGTCCTACCTATAACTACACAGACCCTGAGACTCTAGTAATATTATAATCAATCTGACTCAGATTTTTCAAAATAACATCCACAGAAATATAACACACCTTCTTGTATATTTTTTTTTCATTTGGTGCTTCCTTTCCCTAATTATAAAAGTAATACATGCCATTGTAGAAAATTCATAAAATATGGAACAAAGTCATTATTCACAAGCTCACTGCCTATTAATAAGCAGAGTAAATTTTTAGAGGACATTTTCAAGTTTTCTATACACAAAAACATAGATAAGCTCACATTATGTATAAATATCCACCATGCTTTTCCCCTTCTTTATGTGGGGAATATTTCTTATATTATTACAAATTTATTTAAATCATATTTAAAGATTTGAACATGTTAACATCATATTTAAGGGCTGTGTAATATAGTGACATATGGATGAACCATAATTTATTTTATCAATTCTTTACTGTGCAAAGTCAGGTTGACTGGAAATGTTTCGTCTCATAAATAATACTGTGATGCGTATTCTTGTGTAGCCCTCTTTGTCTAAATTTCTGATCATTTTCCCAGTGGGAGAGAGTAGAATTAGCTCTCATAAAGCTCTTGAAAAATAGCAAACACATTAGGAAATGGATGATCGTTTATAAAATTCTGCAGTCTGTGCTTAATATCACTCTTCTTTTGTATATCAGCTGGATAGCTGGGTAGCAACTTCTTTGAAATCATTGTGAACCCTACTCACCTAAGCAGGCAGCAGCCCCAACCATCGCATAAAGACCAGGGGTGATGCAATCAGCTCCCTGACTACACCAACTATTAAAGATTGTCCAGTCATGGTGGTAATAAGCCAGTTGTTCCATTCCTACTCCTAAAAGCCGACCTGCTATAGCACCAACAGCCATGCTAGGGATAAAGAGGCCAGAAGGGATCTGCAAAGAGAAAGCAAGAGATGGTTAGTGACAAATGATGTGACTGCTTGGCATATGGTAAGGGATGGAGGACTGACCCTCTGCGAAGCAAACAGGCCATTGACAATTTAACTATGCACTATGCTAGCAAGTGGCTGTAAAGATTTGTGTAACACTATAGGGACTAGAGGTTCTCTGGGACGTGCAGGCAAGGATGACTGCAAAGAAGCTTACCCTGATTCGGGGTCCATCAGGCAAGAGCCTGAATTCTCCAGACCAACACAGAACTGGAGGCAGAAATTAGGCCTTTCCCAAAGAAAAAGGAAAATAGATGGAGTTTCTTATATATGCAGACATTTTCCCCAGTTTGAATACTTATCAATTACAATTTCTGACTACAGTGGTCTATGCTGAATGCTCTACATGTAAGATTTTGTAGATTCTTCATAACAACCCCAGGAGGTAGGAATTATTATTCCCAAATGACCAAGAACCTAAGGATCAGAAAGGTCAAGAAACTCATCCAAGGTCAGGATTTAGTAAATACTGGTGCTTGGATCTAAACAGAATGCTCACAACCATGCTCATACATTGAATCCTAACCTACTGTACACACAAAAAGGATGGTATATGAGGTTTCATTGTTTTGCAACAGCATAAAGAAATATTAAACAAACATTTTAAATAAGCAAATGGCTATGGTTGCATGCTTAAGCAAAAAAAAAGGATACTTCATCTATCTTCCTGCTTTTTCTAGGATGCTGTAATAAATTATTAATAAATAGAGGGAAATTATGTCAAGGATAATAAAAACAGCAGATTGTTTTAAAATAGTCTGCATTTGATTTTGGAATGCATTTGAATATGGTGTTCTGAGGGCCTACAAATTCCCTCTAATTTTCACCCCATGGTTTCATTGTTTTGTTTAACTGAAGAGACACTGCAAAACTTTTCAGAGCCTCCATCCTATTTCTGTGTTGAGGGGCGTAGATGGTTAGATGATGTCTAAGAAAGTAGTGTTGCTGAAACTATGTTGCTGTCCCTTATTTTCTGGTTTGAATCTCTGTTTCCCCAGAGGATAGAGGGAAATACTCTGGTAGTAGGGTGCTAAAGAGAAGAAACAAGTAAAATCCTAGTGAGGAGGAGGAAATATCTTAACAAAATTTCCTTTCTAGTTTCTTCTGAAACATAGAAATGATTACAGGTATTGAAAATAAAACATGCCAGCCTGAGTTTTCTTTTAAAAAAATAAATTAACACATAATAATTATGCTTATTATTGGGTACATTGTGATATTTTAAAACATGTATATAATGTATAATGATTAGATCAAGGTAATTATTATATCCATCAGCTTGAACATTTATCACTTCTTTGTGTTGAGAACATTCAAATCCTCTCTTCTGTTTTGAAATACGCAACAAATTATCGTCAACTGTTGTCACCCTAGTGAGCTATACAACACTAGAATGTATCCCTCCTATGTAATTTTATTGTGTACCAGTTAGCCAACTCTTTTCAATCTCTTCCTCCCTATTCCCCTTCCCAGAATCTGACAACCACTACCCTACTTTCTCCTGCTAAGGCCTCCACTTTTTTCAGTTCAGGGAAAACATGCCGATGTCTGCTTTTAATAGTTTCAGAATTCTATTAACTTGCGAAATGGATCCCAGTTGTTGAGTAGTAGCCTTGATTCCAAGTGTAAAAAGCAACAAAAGTAGTTATATATATTGAGCTGAAACATGAAATTGCTCTTTGAAACAGCCAAAATGGTTGAGTACCATCAACTTAATGGGGTTCAGAGAATATACTTTATGAATAACCTCTAAAGCTACCCTGTAAGAATTAATACCATACAGGACAAATATTGTTTTTTGGTTCTCCAGGCACCTCACCATTCTTTTTGAGGAGAAAATTGCTTCCCGCAGAAAAGGAAAAGACATGTCTTCTCACAATCTCATCACTAAGGTTTGCATTTGGTCTCAAAATAAGCTTGGACAACTCGAGAGATAGAGGTAAAGTTATCTAGGAAGTTATGGGAACAAGTGGGGGTAAAATAGCTTTGGGGGTAGGGTAATTACCACATGAACTATTGTAACTGGAAGATACCTTGGCTTTGCCCTCAAAACCCACAGCTACACACACAGCCACTAAGTGCCAAAAGAATTCCTCACCTTCATGCCAAAGGTGAATATAGTAATGACAATTTTCAGGATGAGTGTCAAAGCCAGCTGCCACATGGCACTGTAGACTCCCACGCCAGCCGGTCTGTCAGGCAGTTCACCGCCCTTGCTTGTGTTAAAACGGTTCTCATAATCACACAGCTTGGAGGAGTCCAGAAGGCCACAGTCATTGAACAGCTCAGAAATGAGCTCACTTGTACTCATTCGGGTATATTCATTGGGGAAAGCCAGGATGGCAGTGATGGCTGTCACGATGAGTACCTCTATGACGGGATACTTGCCCAACTGAGTGGTCTTACGCTTCCGACACCAGGCAATGTTTGTGCGGATAAACAGAGCTCCCCACAGACCACCAAATATGCCCAGCAGAATGAATGGTACAAGCTCAAAGAGATGCCATGGGGTGTGAAACTCCACATAAAACAGAACTAGGCGGCTGTTCCCAAACGGATTGATGGAGCGTAGAGTAAATGCTGCCACCAGGGCAGCAAAGAATGAACGCCACAAAGTTTTGAGGGGAAAATAGTAGCTGACCTATAAGAGAGGAGGTGAGAAAGCAAACTTGGTTAATACACAGAGAAATGATTTCAGGGGAAAAGTTGGTGCTGCTGGCATTAGAGTGGAGGATGACAACTGCCCAGGGATTTCTGGTCACATAGTAAATCACTGAATTGGGCCATGCACTCAGGGACTGCAACATTTTTAGATATTGGCCAAAATCCTGACACACAACCATGCACATGTCAGGTGCAGTGGCACTTGCCTGTAAACCCAGGGATTTGGGAGGTTGAGGGAAGAAGACCTCAAGTTCAAAGCGAGTGTCAGCAACTTTAATTTTAAAAAATTAATATTTTGTCTCAAAATAAAAATAAATAAATAAAAGTGGGCCTGGGGATGTGGATCAATGGTTAAGCACCCCTGGGTTCAATGCTCAGTACCAAAAAAAAAAAAATCATTACCTCTTCCAGACTGAATAACACTCCTCCGATAGGTGCCCCAAAAGCTACAGACACACCAGCAGCAGCTGCAGCTGACAAGACCTACAATCCAAAACTCAAAATTAGCAATAAAATAATGCTGCTTTTCCATGTTCAATCATATTTTTAAAGGAATGTTGTTACCACACATTTTCTTTTAAAAAAAATCCTGTACATGCTCCATATCCTCAAAAATGTAGTTCAATTTCTATTTACTTTGAGAGCAACCACTATTTCTGGATGTTGAACACACATACGTGATTCCCATACTTATGCAGGACAAAGGGCCTTCCATTTGTGATTAATTTGGATATGGGCTGTGTTCTAAGTTATGCCCTCCATCTGCAATACACCCAATTCAGTAACTGATGTATTTATTCCCAACCTAAAATGAAGTACTTACAGTGATGTTTACATAGCACTTTGCAAAGGAATGTTTTTCAAATGAGATGTTAAAGAAGGCTCTAATGATACAAAACTGAAATTACAATTGGCTCACAGCTCTTCTGAAGCTGCATTACTTATACAACAGACATTTAGCTTTCCATACTGTGTGCCCTACTCTCTGCCCATTAACCTTTAGAAACAGAAATAGGAAGGCAGCTCGATTTTTAAAGGAAGAGAAAATGCTAAATATGTTTAGGCACAGCAAGGAAAGGGGCTAAGGAGGAGAAGAAGAAGCTGTTAGAGGGAAAGAGAACGAGTGATATTTACAGAGTGTCACCTCTGTGTGTAGGCTTGTGTGAGCATGTAAAATGTACAAGACAAACATTGATGATGGCAAACAAAGCATAGTTCCGTAGAAAGACAGAGTCCTTCCCTTGGATTCTAGTTGCTGTGGAGAAAGAGCTAATTGGGGGAGAAAGGGAATTCATAGCTAAAATGGCTTTTCATTTCAGACAGCCAACATGCAACTTGAGACAGAGGATTTCACTGTGTTTTAGGATGAATTAGGGTGGAGAAGAAGGATTGGGTTGGCTGCTGCTTTAATTATCTACTGCAAGGTAAAATCAATCTATGCCCATCCTTCTCAAATCGGTTTTAATCTCAGCCATCTACCCACTTGGCCAAGGCCACTGGCCACAAAAGGGTATACCGATGGTAAGAACAATAGGAAAAGATAACTGGATAGTCTAAATGAGCAGTAGGAAGTAAATTTGAGATCCAAGTATCCATGGATCTACTCAGAGAAATATTTGGCATCTGTACAGAGAAACAGGCAAATCAAATTTCCCTTTCATAATATAGGGGAGTATTTGAGCAAAAATGACAATTTTCAGGATGGAAAGTAACCAGCAATCTATAGTTTCAAATTCATCTCCACCAATGGAAAACCAGCAACAATCCACACTTTATTCTTGCCTGTTAAAATGTTTTTTTTTTCCCTTCAACTCTGTTGCTTCCATTGTATACTATCTCTGTTTAACAACCTCCTGTTTTAACATGGCCTTTGTGTCCCTCTATCACATAACATACATAAACAGTCTACTACATAAGCCCATGTCACTTCTGCTATTTTTCCTCTCCTTTCTATGTGTATCAGGAACTTTCTCCCTTGAACTATCAAAATTTATTCCGTATTTGAAACCTCAGTGCCTTTCAGTTTCCTTCTAGGTCTTGGGGTTAACCTTTTTTGTTTTGTTTTTGAAAACCTATTTGTTTTCTTTTGTTTTCAGAAGAAATCACTAGATTCCAGATTTGTGAAGCATCTTTCTTAATGAAATCACCTTGATCTTTGATCCATTACATGTGCTTGCTTTGTAATTCAAGGAAAATAAGCTAGAACCATTATTTCCTTAGGTCCTTAATTATAGCAGGATGAAAAAGGAACCAATGGCTTGGAACATTTTAAAAATGTTCCTCTTCAAAAGAGCATACATTAAGAACTGAATAAATTTGAGAACAACTACAGCGATGCTAATTTAGCCCAGTGGGGGTGGGTGTTTAGCAGAGCTGAGGCAGGAGGCAGAGTGAGGTCTAATCCAGAGAGAAACCAAGTCAAGTGTGCCCTTAGGTAGAAAGAAATAAAGATAAAAATGTTGACACCTGAAATGCACACTGCATTTATATTTACTCTTGCATAGGAAATAAACAAGTTCTGCCAGGTGCAGTGGTGCATAGAGGCTGAGGAAGGAGGATCTCAAGTTTGAGGCCAGCCTCAGCAACTCAGAAAGACCCTCAACTTAGCATGAAGCTATTTCAAAATAAAAAATAAAAATGTCTGAGGATAAGAGGACACACCTGGGTTCAATCCACAATACCAAGGAGGGAAAAGGGAATAGAAATCTTCTTCAGACAGGTGCAACAACACATGCTTATAATCCCAGCAGCTTGGGAGGCTGAGGCAGAAGGATCGTGAGTTCAAAGCCAGCCTCAGCAATGGCGAGGTACTTAGCAACTCAGTGAGACTCTCTCTCTAAATAAAATACAAAATAGGGCTGGGGATGTGCGTCAGTGGTTGAGTGCCCCTGAGTTCAATCCCCAGTACCCCCAAAAAATCTTCTTTAAAAATCTGTTAAAAAATTTGTAACTCCTTTTGTAAAGAAGCAACATATACTTGCATAGGATTATATATAATAAAAAGTTAAAGTCATTACTTCTCTTTCCCTACCAGCTCACTGGCCAACTCACCAGAAGTAGACATTTTTAACAACTTGGGGTAAACCCATTTTCCAGACATAGTAAGTTCATAGATATAAACATTTTTGAAATGTTACCTGAATTACAATATGCATATCAGTCACGAACTGACTTTTAAAATTTAATATTATTCTATCACCAGAATATCATATGTAGGACTACCTCATTCTTTTTAAGGGTTGCATAATATTCTATTGTACAGGCGAGATATTGTTTATTGTGTTAGTCCCTTCTTGATGGACACTTTGGTTGCTTCGGATTTTCACTATTTCGATAAACAGTGTACTGACTATCCCCAAAAACCTGTGTGAACACACATGCTAGGATGCCTGTAGGATAAATTCCTAGAAGTGAACTTTCTGAGTCAAAGGTTGTTTGCATTCACTATGGAAGAATTCCCAGATTTGCATTCATAATACTGTGTCACTTAAGTGCTCATGTAAAAAGTTAACTATTAAGGCCATTTTTCATTACCTCTCTGCGTTTGGCTTCATTCTTCCTGTATTTGTTGAAGCAGTGGCAAAGGATGTTCCCACAGCAGCAAGCCACGTGCACTAGGGGGCCCTCTTTGCCCAGGCTCAAGCCAGAGGACACTGCCAGCACCAAGGTGATGGTTTTGATAACCAGGGTCCACTTACCCAAATAGCCCCTAATAATGAAACCACTCAAGATAGTTTTTATCTGCAGGACAAACAGAGAGATTGAACATAGACTAAGGAAGTAAAACAAGGTTAAGAAGCAAAAATCTGGGCCTCATCATAGAAACTACACCTTTTGAACAAGGGAGGTATAAATGTTTGATTTAAAGTGAACCCAGTTTGGGAGGGAGCTCAGGAGTTCAAGAAAGGTGGAACTATTCTTCAAGCTTTCATGTCCCCCCTCCCTCTTTTTTTGGTGGTGGTGGTGAGAATGGGAGCAATGTGACATCTGGACAAGTGCATACTATATGAGAATGGATAGCTGGAGAAATTCAAGAAGGCAGATGGGGAGGAATAGATGTTTCCCTTAGTTTACAAAATGGTGGCCTAAGGGGCATGTTCTGAGAGAGCAAGGTCAATGTTCTGGAACCAACCTGAAAGATTAGATATAATCTTGATCTCCTGCCAAAGAAATGACTACTACTTGGTCAAGAAACAGACAGGGGCAAGGTCATTCTGGTGACGTAAAATTTCAGTGGTTTTAGTTACCATAAAGCAACCTATATCAAAAGTAGTTAGAAATAGGAATTCCCTTTAGCCTAAATTATATTGTGGGAAAGGTAGGGGAAAATTATAGGGAAATTGTTTTCTTTCTTTTGCTCTACCAGAGTTGATAATTCCACTGTTTTTTGTGGTCAGAATCTTGGGGCTTACCCTGGGAACTTCTTGGGTAAGGACTGGGGGAGGTGTTTAGGAGCCTGGTTTAACAGGAACCCTCAGGAGGCTCAGAATCAACACCTTTTAGTTTCCAGGTCACCTAGGCTAGGAGAAGGCTTCAGGGAGAGGCCTCAGGATCTGACTCTGTTTAATATTTACCAAATTATGGTACAGGCCGGAACACACACTAAAAGCTTTTAACCAAAAAGATTAATATTGTTACCATTCATAAACCATTTCAACATACTCACCTCAGGAATTCCAGAGCCACAGGCATAAGGGGCAAACACCTTGACAAGAGATACAGCAAGGAAGGCAAATAGGAGAGCCCAGAGGACATACATGAAATAATTGACTATGTAGGCAAAGGCCCCCTAGAACAGGGAAAAAAAGAGAGAAGTTCATTTTAGCTGAGATTACCTCAGTGAGGGATGGGGCTCTTCTGAGTCATGGTTTTACAGGAAAGAGTTCAGAAGGAAAAGACCTATATTAATTTGCTCAAATATTTCTTTCCAGATTGTTCAACAAGGCAACAACTGATACGGTCAGGTCACTTGGTATTGAAAATTAAGATGCTTTGTTACACCTAAAGGAAATTCACAATGGATTTTAGGAATGGACAGGAAGAAGATCAAACTCAAAACCCTGAACCAAAATTCACTGTTTATGTGAATGCTTTGATAGGTTTTATAGTCTAATATATATGATCCTGTATCAATTTTACCAAGCATTTTATCAGTTCTTTTAATGAAATGGCCAAACCCTGGCTACACGTTTGAAGTGAAGTCCAGCTCTAAAATTTCATTACACTCACCTTTGGCTCCCTATCTTGGTGTCAAAATCTCACAGGATATTGCAGTGACTAAAATTCTTGGGTGGTTTTCCTTCCATCCTCGATCCCATTTTTCCCCTCCTTTTTTCTTGTGGTACTGGGGACCAAACCCAGGACTGTTCCACTACTGAACTACTTTCCCAGCCCTTTTCTATTTATTTTGTGACAGGGTATTACTAAGTTTCTGAGGCTGTCCTTGACCTTGTGGTCCTCCTGCCTTTGCCTCCTGAGTCTCTGGGATTATAGGCATGCACCACTGTGCCTGGTGATTTTTCTTGTTTACTGCATATGTTTAAAGTATACAATATAATGTTTTTCATTTTGTTTTGTTGTTTAGGTGATGGGGATTGAACCCAGGGCCTTGTAAATGCTAAGTACATGCTCTACCACTGAGCTACACTCATGGCCCTGATGTTTTCATATGCATCTACATAATGAAATGATTATTACAATCAAAAGACATACATAATCATCACCTTCCATGTAGCCTTTCTTCATATGTGTGGTAATAGCATGTAAAATCTTTTAGCAAAATTTCAGTACTTCTTCTTCTTCTTCTTCTTATTATTATTATTATTATTGCATTGGGGGATATAACCCAGGGGTGCTCTATCACCAACCTACATTCAAACCTTTTTTTTTTAAATTTTTAAGACAAGGTCTTGCTAAATTGCTGAGGCTGGCTTTGAACTTGCAATACTCCTGCCTCAGCCTCTTGAGTAGCTAGAATTACAGGCTTGTGCCACTGAGCCCAGCAACAATATTAACTATAATCCTTACATGTTATATTAGATCTCTAGATTTATTCATCCCACCTAACTACAAATTCATACCTTTGGCCTACTTCCCATCTCCTTCTACTCTTTGTCCCTAGTAACCATCATTTTACCAACCTAGTTTATTTAAGATCCCATATATAATGATGGCATCTTTAGAGATGCAGCAACATGTATGTGAATAGAAAGATTGATGACATATATTTCAAAGAATAAAATGGCAATATTTCTTATGTACTCAGCATTGAACTCAGGGCCATGTACGTTAGTCAAGTGTTCTACCACTGAGCTACATCCCCAGTACCTTTAACTATTTTTAAAATGGAGAGAATACACCTTTGAGACTATTCCCTTTGATAATGAAGTGTGCTACAAAAGAAATCTAGTTTGGACCACAAATAAGGATTCATTAAAATTAATGGACTGGTAAATAGTCATGCCTTACAAAAAAGCAATTTTGGACACTAGGAGGTTATGCTTGTTGGTAGAAATATTAGGAGTTGAAATTCATTCAAATTACATGGAATACAAAACTCAATGGACTTTTTGACATTTCAAAATACAAAACATTATTTACATAATTCACTGACCTAGACAAAGAGTGCTCAGGTTTTTTTTTCTATGCTATAAGCTTGATACAGGTTTTCCATGATTTTAGCTCCTCAAAGGGCACAGACAATTGGTATCTCCTTGCCTTTCAAATGTAGCCTAGGAGCAAGGAGACTCCAGAGGTACAAAACAAAGAGGGAAAGGGAGTAAAGAGTGAAGTAACAAACAGGCCAGAGGCACAGATGAGGCCAAATTCTTGGCAGGAGAAGGTTTCCTAAAACCTAGAAGACTCTTTCCCCAGGCTAGGATTTCATTCATAAAAAGGAAAGCCAGAGATAGTTGTTGCTCAAGCAAATCTCAAACTCCAGGTCTGGTTTGACAGTAACTTCTGGAACAAACACACACACACACACAACTATATGGGGACAGACAGTATGAGGGAGCCTTGTGGTCATAGAACTGTCCTACATTTTCACTGTGCTGGTGATTATACAAAACTACACACGGGATAAAATCACAAAGAACTCTATCTCAAATCAGTCAGTGTAAAACTGGTAAAATTAGGTCTGTGGTTTGTACCTAAGTCAATTTCTTATACTATTTGTCATCGTTATGCAAGGTGTTATTTAGGGAGGCTGGGTGAAGCATATAGAGGATCTCCTTGTACAGTTGTTTTAACACTTCCTAGAAATTTGTAATTACTTTTTTCAAAAGTGTCTCATCAAAAGTAAGGGAAACACATGCATCCATCCACCTTCACTCACCCTGAATTCCAGGACCTCTCAAACTATTCTACCCAGGTCCTTCTAATCTAAGACAGTACATAGGGTAAAGGGAGGTGGGACCTGGAAACAGAGCTAAAAACAGAGATCTTGAAGTTTCTATAATCAACCTTCTGTGCTGGAGACAGAGAGTATTCCTTCTATCTAACTGGATTTTGGTACCCATTATCCAACCTCTCTCTCCCCAACCCCCTCTCACTTCCCAGCCTCCAGTGACCACTATTTTGCTCTCTACTTCTTTAACTCTCTATTTATATGTGATATGTTTTCAAAAATAAAATTTCAGAGTATAAGTATATGTCCTAGTCTTGCTTTCCCCACTTTACCAACAGAGTGGAGGAGTAGAGAGCTAAAATGGTACCCAATGTAGTTGTTGAAAGAGTGGAATTGGGAGTTGAGAGTTTGTTTTATGTGCTTTCATTTTCAGTGGGAGAGAGCTAACATAACAAAGTGGTAAGAGAAAGGAAATGAACCAAAAAACAAAATCACTTGTGCACCAAAAAACACATGCTAGAGGACAATAAAAATGTTGATTTGATTGCAAGATGTGACTATAAGCAACTTTATTCCTAGGTTTCTGTTATTTAAAAAAACATTTTTAGTTGTAGATGGACATAGTACCTTTATTTTATTTATTTATTTTTATGTAGTGCTGAGCATCAAACCCAGTGCCTAACATGTGCTAGGCAAGCACTTTACCACTGAGCTACAAATCCCAGCCCAGGTTTCTGTTATTTTGACATGGAATATATCATATGTTTTAGTATTCTAATGAGACACTTGGGAACCAATCACTTTTGGTGTTCATATGATAAACAGATTTTAAATGAAATTTTTTGTGTGGTGCTTGGGATCAAACCCAGGATCTTGAACATGCTAGGCAAATGCTCTGCCACTGAACCACTCCCCTAGCCCTAAACACATTTTTAACCCATTCCCTCCTTCATTAGAAATCATAGCTTACCTGTTAGGTGCTTCTGACATTCCCATTGAAATTATTAGGGAAAGACATATTCAGTTACATTGTATTCTAACAACTCAGAAGACTTGTTGGGCTTATTTTAAACAAACCAACATTTTAAAGATAAGCAACAACTGATTGCCCATGTCAGAAGAGATGGAAATAGGATTGTGCATAAACCACAGAACAAGGCAGCTGGCATGTGTTCCCCTTTTTATAAAAAGAAATACAGGGGGAGATTCCACAATAGCCACAAGTACAATATCAGAAATGAAATAAGTGTAAGAATAAAATCTAGTGGTTCCGAAATCATCACTGTATGTTACCTCATCTGTGTTGATGATAAGTTGGGACCAACTATTCCACTCTGGACACTTGTCTCTGTCTTCAAAGGTGACATGTTCAGAGTTCCAGCAACAGTGTTCATGGTTAAACCAGAACCCTCCTGTGCATATGCCTTCTTTTAAGTCTGTCATCCAATGAGCAGAGATGTCTATCAGACCAGCTAAGGAACCTGGTTTGTGAGGGAGAGAAGACCAAAGTTAAATTCCATTTCTGATACTCTGTTCTTCAGTAATCAAAGTTTTGTCAGCAAAAACAAGGGAAAAGGAATCAAAATAACTGACGAGCACATACATTGGTTTGGTTTTCACTCATTATCTCCCCATGAAACACTGGTGACTGTATACAGGAGGGACTCAGGGAGAAGAAGAACAGTTGGTTGGGAGTAAGGGGCTATTGGATTTGTCTTTAAGTTGAATCTACCTGGCCAAGACACTGCTTTGATTTAGACAGTAAAGTTTATTCACGATTATTTCATTCTCGATATATATGTACATGTATGCTTACACACACACACACACACACACACAGTTGAGAAAACATGACTTACCCATACTGATAAATATTCTAATGGTGGTTATTGGAGATGGGGAGGAGAGCTGCTAAAGTTTATAGAAAGAAAGGCTGATCTTACAAAGCAGGATTTTACTCCACAGACAAGGGAACTAGAGCAATGGCAGGAAGGCATTCTAGGCTAAGGGAACTGCATTTATAAAAGCACAAACTATGATGTGCATGGAAAATTAGATACATTGAAGCCTTCTGAACCTCGGACATGAACATTCTGAATTTTTCTTAGTGAGGAGGAATAAATGCTATTATACATGGAACATTCTTCCAAAAGAAAACTAAGAAAATGAAGAGTGAACTGGGGACATATGTATTATAGCTAGTCCACTGATAGGGTTAAGATAGTTATAGTGCTTTAGATTCTGGCCTTCTCTTCATTTCTGTCTTCCAGATGAAGAAACTCTGGCATAGAGAAATTAAATGACCCAAAGTCATGCTTTAGGGAAATAGTAAAGACATCATAAAATTCACAGCCCCTGAATTCCCAGACTGTTCTTGCACTCAGACACACTGCTTCTATTGTTGCTCTCCAGTGCTTAAAAACAAAATACCCTTGTGTATGAGGGAAAGAAAAATAGTCACTGACCACCTAGTGACAAGAAATACATTAAAAAGTGGAGGATATGACGCCTACATTCCACCAGGCAAGAGGCCATGTCATGTGTGTGTTTTGGTAGGTGCTAAAAGTGTTAGCACAGACTATTTACATCCTTGAATACCCTAGTCAAATCTAGCACGTTGTTTGACACCTACTTTTGGCCACCCCACCCTCCAGCCTTCTTTCTAATTCATATTGAGTCATAGTGAGTCTGCCTGGACTTAGAAAATTAACAAGATGTTATATAGTTTGACTTATTCTCTGGTTATTTCATGTGTGCGTGTCTTATTTTACCCAATGCTATTACCCACCATCTTATCCTTCCTTTCATTTCTACCTGTCCTCCTCCTTCTCTCAATCAGCCCTTTCTTTGCCAGTTACAAATTTTATTAGGTTTCCCCTGTGCCAAAGAATAAAATGCTATCCCTTCTCCTTGTTATCATTTTAAGATTTTGCCCCTCCTTTTCCCCCCAATGACTACCTAAACCTCTACACTAGCTTCTGTGCCTTGAAATATGGCTCTTTCAATATATCTGAGATGATTTTTCAAGGTCATTGATGTGCTCCTTCTAGGCTGTATATCCTTTTCCCGTCATCTTCCTTCTCTTTAGCTCTCTGCAATATTTTGCATCACAGACCACCCAATTCCAAACTCACCATGCTCTCTCACCCTGTATGAGTCAAAAAGAGCAGAGTTAACATCCTAGACCATGGGTTTGCAAACTACTTCCCAAGGGCCAATCCTTTATTTGTAAATAAAAACGTCCTGGTGGCAGCCAAGCTCATTTGTTCACCTGTGATCTATGGCTGCTTTCATGTCTTATCAGCAGAGTGGAATAGGTGCTAAAATATTTATTAGCTGGCCCCTTTATAGAAAAAGTTTTCCAACCCCTATCCTAGATAAAAATCTAGCTTTGGATATAAGCCATTTTTTAAAAATTTAAAGTAGCCATTTTCTACTTTGTGGCTCATGAATCATTATCCCTTGGTAACAGCAGCATTATTAACAACTGGGCACTGTGTTAAGTGCCATATCCTATTTAATCCTCACAGAAACTCTTAATGTAGGTACTGTTATTATCTCCATTTGACAGGTCAGTAAACTAAAGCTTATAGGGGTTAATAAGAAACTTATCCAAAGCCACCAAAAAATGTAGTGGGACTGAAATTCAATCTCTAGCTACCTGAAACTAGATCCTGGATTGTTACCTACCCTCTAATACTATCTCCTCTAGCTTTTCCACCTAATTTCTTCTTCTATTTTTTTTTTCTTTTTTCTGTACCAGGGATTGAACTTAGGGTCATTTAACCACAAAGCCATATCCCCAGTCCTTTTTTTTTAAATTTTGAGACAGGTCCCTCTAAGTTGCTTAGGGACTTGCTAAGTTGCTGAGGCTGGCTTTGAACTTGTGATCCTCCTGCCTCAGTCTCCTGAGCCTCTGTGATTACAGACATGTGCCACCTTGCCTGGACATACATAATTTCTATTTCAGTCAAAGATTCTAGATACACCTAGGCCCCATCTTTTATTTTCAATTTATTTTCTGGTATTTGGGATTGAGCCTACGGTTCTCTACTTCTGAGTCACATCCCCATCACTTTTTTTTATTCTGAGACAGGATCTTGCTAAGTTTCCTAGAGCCTTGGTAAATTGCTGAGGCTGGCCTTGGACTGTGATCCTCCTGCCTCATCCTCCCAAGTGCCTGGGATTACAGGTATGTGTCATTGTACCTGGCATCATTTAAAGCTATAAGTACATACCTTTTGGCATCTCTGCCTGGCATCCTTGGCTCTCTGCTTCCCCCATAATAGAAGCCTATTTGAGAACTTGCTTTAAAGCTATATTTGCATAGCATATATGCTAGTTTTACTTAGACTATATACAGTTTAAGAATCCCTAATCTGGAAAGCTCCACAATCCAGAACTTTCTGAACTCCAACATATCAGCAAAAATGGAAAATTCCACATCTGACCTGTGAAGATGGACCATAATCAAAATTCATATGGTCTAAAAATACTGTATAAAATTACCTTCCAGCTATGTGTGCAAGGTATATATAAAACATAAATGGAGACTTGGAATATAGTTCCTTGTTAGAGTGCAAGAGTTGCAAGTACAAGGAGGGCTATGTGTTCCATCCCCAGCACAACAAAACATAAAATAAAATAAATAAATTGCAAGTTTAGATTTGGGTCTCTTCCTCCAAATATCTTATTATGTATATGAAAATATTCCAAAACCAAAAAAATACTGTCTGCAAGTATTTTGGAAAGGGATACTTAGCCTATATTATTTTGAGTGATAAAGGAAGCTGATGGAGCTAATAGAAAAAGGTGGTATAAATAAATAAAACAAAGAAAGAGGTGGTACCATCTCACTGCTCAGCCACCATGAAAGAATACAATGAGAAATTCCTCGAGAGAATGGACTACGTCACATGCCTTTATATACCACCAAATGAAAGAGTAGACAAAAGTTCAAGAAACGGCTGTCTCAGGGAATTCTTGTATACATCTGCTCTCCTAGATTCCATTCAGAATACTTTTTAAAAAAACTGTTTTTAAATAAAAATTGGAATATATGTGTCAAAAACAAAACAAAACAAAAATGCCTGATGATCTCTAACAGAAGGGCTCTTCCTCAAGAGAAGTACTAAAATGCAGGGTGAACATCACCTTAAAGTGAAAATGGGCCAGGCCCGGTGGTGCACACCTGTAATATCAGCTGCTTGGGAGGCTGAGGCAGGAGGATCATGAATTCAAAGCTAGCCTCAGCAATTTAGCGAGGCACTAAGCAACTCAGTGAGACCCTGTCTCAAAATACACAATAGGGCTGGTTGAGTGCCCCTGAGTTCAATCCCTGGTACCCACCCCCCCAAAATGAAAATGGTATGTTATAACAGACAAAAGATGTTTAAATGCAGTTCTTCATTTGTTTAAGGTAGGAGATTCATTTCAGGTAGAAAAACAGCATACAGGCCAGTTCATAACTTGGGGGAGGGGCACAACACAATTTTCAGAGATTTGTTTTGAAAACTACCATAGTTGACCATACCTGATAAAAGTCCAATAAGGAGCATCAACAACCAGCCAGAAAATGCATCACTCACACTGTGAATTAAGGCCCATGTTGACTCTTTGCTTTTATTGGTGATCTAAGAGAAAATGAAAAAAAAAAACTATTGGTATATGCTATACACACTCTTCCTTCACCTCAAAATTGCTCAGTAAGGAAATACAATGATAATCACCTGGGAATAGAGACCCATGGAAAATTACTTCTCATACAATCTTTAGCTGAATGGATTTCACCAAGAACTTTGAGGTTTCCTGTACTCTACCTTCATCTGTAGTACTGTGTTGCTCACAAGTACCTTATCTAAGGCTTCCCTATTTAGTCAGTAATTTCTTAGAATGTCAATCTTTTACTTATTGTAGGGATCTCTTTCTGTCTTGGACATCAGCTATCCCAAGGACAGTCACTTGAAACCAGAAAATAGTTTGTCTCGAAAATATAAACAAACAGAGACTTATGTGAATGATGAAAGTACAATCTGTGATTTATTTCATAGAGCCATGTTTCAGGTTAGGCAAGTTCTAACACCCAATCCCATGAACCCCTAATTTTATATTAATCACAGATACTTAGTGATACCAGAGATGTGTTTCTTTCATTTTTTTAGAAACCTGAAGGCATAAGCTAAAGCTATCAGAAGATAAGGAAAGTTTAACCTTTTATTCCCAGCCTGGTCAATTTAACCTTTCAATGTCCATATTTTTAAAACCAACATTCTGCCAGTTTTGTCATGGGTACTTGTCCCTTTTCTGTACCATTATTTATTAGACCAGAAGTAGTTGATTTAGCTGTCCTACCTTCACCTACAACATCACAATAAGCTGAAAATTTCAAAAGGAATTTAAAAATGCATTTTGATCTATGACACTGTTTCCAATATCAGTGCTGAAAATAGATGAGGTTACATTTTTTTCCCTGTGACATTATTTCCTTTCTGATAATGAATCATTAATGCTAGGGGGAAAAAAGTTCCCATAGACCATGTGATAAATGCACTTCAGTTTTGGATTCCTAATTGTTATCATTTATCTCAGATGCAACCATTAATAGGAGAAATATGCTCTTGTCATATCACAGGTGACTCTCACAATTTGAATAATGTGAATATGCAACTGATGACAAACTGAACTCTGAAAGCAGAAATTCTAAAGCCAGCAAGATTCTCAGTTCTAAAGTCTGCCTGATTAATTGATATGATAAGAAGATTATGGAGTATACTCCAGAAATCTTAGGAAAAACACATAATGCCTTATATGATCACCCTTTTAAGTTGTGATAACTCAGTAGAATTACCACAATTCCACGGATTAAGAAGGAATTTCTCAAAGCCTGTATCCAGAACAACCTGACTCCCAGGGGTTCAGGTGGTCCTAAGAAAATCAATCAAGAGCTGGGAAAGGGCTTAAGAATGAAAAGCAAAGGCTGGGGGTGTGGCTCAGTAGTGGAGCACTTGCCTAGCATTTACCAGGCCCTGGGTTCCATCCCCAACATTGAAAGAAAGAAAGACAGAAAGATTTCCACCTGACCGCTCAAGAGATTTGCTTGGCTCTGAAAGGAGGAAATTGTGAATTCAGGAGAGAATGGGGTCAGCTGAACAATCACATTTTTAATTTGAGTCAAAGTAGAAATAGTAAAGGAAAAAATACTACTACTGGGCTGGGGTGGTGGTGGTTCAATAGTAGAGAACTTGCCTAGCATGTGTGAAGCACTGGGTTTAACCTTTAGTACCACATAAAAATAAACAAATGTGTCCTTCTACAACTAAAACAAAACAACAACAACAAAAACATTAAAAATGCTACTACTACTGTGGCCTAAAGAAATGACTTACCAGGGGATCACCTACTGACAATTGTTGGGCTAAGGTTGGACACTTACTATTTTTTTAAGTTTTTTAGTTGTAGATGGACACAATCCCCTTACTTGTTTATTTATTTTTAAATTTATTTTTATGTGGTGCTGAGGATCAAATCCAGGGTCTCACAACTGTGAGGCAAGTGCTCTACCACTGAGCTATAGCCCCAGCCCTGACACCTACTATTTTTAATGAGCTCTCCATTGTGGCCCTTATGCAAACTAGAAATTTGGATTCCCTAAGTTAAATGATACACAGCAACAAATTAAAGGCAAATGACCTTGGCAGATTTCTCTGAGAGTTTTCCACAATACTTTGAAAAGAGAAAAGTGTGGAAATTCTCTTGCCAAATTCAAAAGAACCTCTGCCATAACCCTAATTACCATCTATTACCAATTGCATTAAATTAATGTCCTTAATCTGAACTGATTGGTCTTGTGCTATGAGTTGAATACATGAATTTATTTGAGTTTTATGGTTGTACAAGAGCTATAATCATAAGGAATTCATCCCCTTTGATTCAGTAAACGCCAGGGCTATGAGAATTTTTTTCTTTTATTCCTTTAAAAGGAGCCCACTAACTTATTTTAGTTTTAAAATTCTTGCTTCAAGGAAAAACCTGCAAAAGGTAGATGAGAAGGGGGAGGAAGATCTTTGACTTTAATTTTGCCACCCTTTTAAAGATTGTTTTCACCTCTTCAAAGGCACTTATACCCATTCCAGGGCTGTAAGGACCATTTTTAATCCCTTATTTTAGGAAGACAAATCATCAATAAATACAATTTTTAAAAGCATCTAGGATAAAAATAATATTCAAGATGTCTTTCAAAATAAGTTTAAAATTAAACCCTACATTGATAATAGATATCAAATTCAGTCACATCCAGGACTGAAGAAAGGAAAAAAAATAAAACGTATTTTCTAACACTTCCCCCAGTATTTCCTAACACTCACGTACCATCCTTTGTCTTACCTCTCGGTGTCTATCCCGGTCTCGAGACTTCTCTCTCACCCAATCAATTGTGTTGAAATCATCATAGGTACCTACACCTGGTATTGGCTCCTCCAAGAAGTCCATGATCCTATTTGAAGAACCTATTCCTCCACCATTGTATGACTTGTTCCCTATATTGAATGGGAAACAGACATTTTACTTCATTTTTAACACCTCTTTTCTTAGCTCCAACAAGTGAGCCTTTAAACTATCAAATGACTACAGTTAGAGTGTGCAATATCCTTACCTGGTAGGTATGTCCATCACATTCAGAGGTTTTGTGATCTAGGCCCATTTGATGAGTAACTAAAGGCAGTGTGAATGGAAAGGGACAGATGAGAGCAATAGTACAAAGAGAGTAATGACAGGAGTTGATCTGCAATGAGAAAGGATTTACAGAAAAAACAGGAAGGAGTTTGGAGTAGTGTAGTTACTTCAGTTTATGGAAGACAGACAAAAGGGTCAAAGGTCTTTGCAGACATATCACATCAAGAACTATTTTACAATTATAAGGCAGTAATTCAATCCTATGAGATGGCTTTTGCCTAACCAGGGACTCCAAAGAGAGCATGTAAGCCTCTTCAAGAGTTAAGCTACCTGGAATGTAAAAATTTCCCTTCAATATGCAGAAGACTTTGATTCCTAATATAATGGGCTCATAGAAACTCTAACATGTCAGAAAGTCGAAGATTTCCAAGTAGAGATTTAGAGAACAGTGCATGGCTCAGTGATAAGATTTCCTTCTCTGATCTTTCAATTAGAAAAATAACACCCATTTGCCCATCTCTCATGGTCCTTTACTTGCTTCACTTTCAGCATTTCCATCACAATTACTCATGTGTATTTTTTATCTTCCTTTCTAGATTAAAAGCTGGTAGTCCCGTATCTGATTCATCATTGTCTTCTCCACAGTGCCTGACACATTCCTGATACTCAATAAGTATCAGCTGAAATAAGATGCATGTATTTGATGGATGGCGGGGACGAGGGAGAAGTATCGAAACAGTTGTACTCACACATGGTTAGTACTGCTTAACGTACTTGTTCAAAATATTTTGGCAGAATCATCTGATGAAACAATATTTAGCTATTAAACACAAAATGTGAAACAGTATTGAGGAATTTATGCAAATTGCCCACAGGAAGGAAAAATGCAGAGTAATGCTATCATTTAATGCACCGAGCCAAAGCTCATATTTGCAGCAGGGACAACCTTGGCTGGGCAAGGTTTCATCCAAACTGTTTGGTAATGACTTCTTCTGCAGAGAAGGCCCGAGTGGGCCGCCACTGACTCCCTCCCCCCTACTGGCATGCCCACTTTCACTAGAAACTCCTACCAGACAACTTCAGCACGCTCATGGGGTAAATTTGAATGAATACACCAAGCTGTATGTGTTTTACCAACTGTAATTCTGCTGAATGTCTAATTCAGCATACTTTACACAAGCAACGTACACATTTGAAAGGAAAAGCTCAGCAGAGTTCATAGCATCTGGAGGAAGCAGGTAGGACAGGGAGGTGGCACAGGAGGTGAACAAGTTAATCTTAAAACCCCAAAGCAAAGTCCTTTCCATATCTTCACTGGTACCTGGCTGTAAAATGGATGGCTGCTGAATCACCAGCCCAGCATTTCCTATCATGTCAGTGTCATGCTGATAAAGATGAAAGCTGGTGTGTTGTTTGAGAGTTTGGAGAGGAAAGCCAGCTAGGAAATAAGGGCAGAAAGAGAATAAAGTGCATATGGGGGAGAGGGGGACTAAACTGTTTCAATTCCTAAGTCAAATGCTGACACAGGACTCCAGACAACCAAAAATTGACTTTTAAAAGCAGCTTAAGGCTTCCCTTGAATTTTCTCTGGCTTGAGAGTTCTTTCAGGAAGAAAAAAAAAGGGGGGGGGGTGGAAAGAAAGAAAGAAAGGATTTTGTGAAACTGATTTTTAAAAGCATCTGAAAGCTATCTAATGTTTCTCTCGCTCTCTCTCCCTATATATATCAAATGAGTCCCCCAGCTTTAAGGATCTTAAAGCAAAATGAAGATCTGCAACAGCGTCCTGGCAGGAAAGAAAGAATCCTATTACATCACTAGGTAACATGAGCACCACCGCATCATCCTCCTTTGTCGTAGTCGGTCTCCTGTTAGAGACGCAATTGTCAGGCCCCTCGCAAAGGGCAGGCAGTGATTAGAATCCTACTACAGACTGCTTGCGATTCTCCAGATCCCTTGCTCCCGGGGGCATGCTTCAGTCCTGAGTCAGGCTCAAGTCTGCTTACCTTCAATCACAGTTCTCTTTTTTTCTGCCTCAAGGAAGAAATAACCTTGGCAGCCTGCATTTAGTCATTTAGGTTGAGGCGCTTTTACAGAAGGAGCGCCGCTGGCTCCCAGGCGCTTCAGAAGGGCACTTGCTGCGCTCTCCGCCTTTCACAGCAACAAACGCCACCTAAAGAGCCACCAGTGCTCCCCGGCGGTCAGAGTGTGATGTCACTGTTGGGATCACGTGACCAGACCCTTGGACCAGCCTTGGAGAAAGGAAGATTTTTAACCGAGCACGAAAGCCTTAAAGATGTAGTCTCATCTAAACCAATGCCATCAAACTTGGGGCAGTCAGGTCAGCTCAGAAAACTGGGGTCCAGACAAAGTTTATCCTTCAGACCAATCATTTAGCAGAAAGTCCCAAATCATTTACAGTTACAGGGGTCCTAACTAAAAAAAAAAAAAAAAAAAAAGGAGGGAGACAACAGAGAAAAGGGGTTTTAAAAATGCACTGGGTAGATATAACATGAATAAAACCTTACAAACTCAATGCTGAGTGGAAGGTTCCAGAAGCAAGGAGCACACAACACTATCAGTCTATACCTGTAAGTTCAAAAACAGGCAAACCTAAAATATATCATTTTAGGATCCATTGATTACATTATAGAGAGAAGGAAGAATATGACAAAATGAAAGATTGGATTTACTCAGAGGTTGCCATCTGGGAGGAGCACATGGTAAGGGTAGGATTTTTGGAATGCTGGTCATTTTCTTCATCCAGGTGGTGGTCACCTGAGTGATTACTTTTAATTACCATTTAAAGTGTACACATGTTTCCTATCTTAGTTGCTATAGACGTATCATAATTAAAGAAAAATGTGAAGCTGGGAGCCATGGCACACTCCTGTAATCCCAGCAATTTGGGAGGCTGAGGCAGGAGGATCACAAGATGGAGACCAGCCTTGGTAACTTAGTGAGAACATGTCTCAAAATTTAAATAAAATAAAATAAAATTATACGGGCTGGAGTTGTAGTTCAGTGGTAGAGTATCCCTGGGTTCAATCCCCAGTACTGCAAAAAGAAAAGAATAATGTGAAGTCAGGTGCCGTTTTATATATCTATAGTCCTAGCTACTCAAGAGGCTGGGTAGGAGGATTGCTTTGAGCCCAGGAGTTGGAAGCCAGCCTGGACAGACCTCATTTCAAAACAAAAAGTATTTTTGGGATGGGGATGCAGCTCAGTGGTAGAGTGTGTGCTCAGTGTGCATGAGGCCTTGGGTTCAATCTCCAACACTACAAAAAGGAAGAAATGATGGAAGGAAAGAAGAAATACATGGATAAACTAAATTGCATAATTACTTACCATACAAGGTCAGTTCTTTAATAGCACCCAGACACTTTGAAACCTCAGAGTACAATCAATAAAATGAGTTATTTCTTAGTAGTAATACTCTCTTGTTGGGTGTGGTGAGGCACATATAATCCCAGAGACTCAGAAGGCTAAGGCAGGAGGATCACAAATTCAAGGCCAGCCTCAAGCAATTTAATAAGACCATGTGTCAAAATAAAAGTAAGAATAAAAAGAACTTGGGATGTAGCTCAGTGGTAGAGCACTCCTGGATTCATTCCTCATTACCACAAAAGAAAAAAAAAAAGTAGTAGTGCTTGCCCCAGAAAGCAACATTGACTTTGACACTCATTAATCTCACCTGGGTGAAAGCAGTTACAGCAGCCTGACAATAAATTCAATACTATATTTCCATTGTTCTAAAGGCTTTCCCTTCCCTGGCCCTATTCCGAAGGCTATTTTTAAGCAGGTCTTAATTAATAGTGCAAAAAGGCCAGTCCAGTAAAAGAATAAAATTGCTATCTTAAAACTCCCTAAGTGAATCAAGAGGACAGCCACTGTTAAACATTAACCCAGACACAGTGCGCTCCAATAATCAGACTGTACATGTAGCGCTCTGAAATGTTATTAGTTTCATCAGCTCTTAAGGTCCAATATGACCTGAAATGTTAACACAACAAAACCTTATAAAATGTGAGGCATTGAAGGAAATTTGTATGCTTCCAGTTCATCATAATTTTAACATTTCACTCTCTGGATGAACTAATATAGCATTAATGAGGAAAATTTACATTATTTGGCAATTTATATTAAGTGCCGATGAGTTACAAACTGTAAAATAAATAAACAGTCATCTATGGCCCAAGTGTGACTGTCTTATACAATTAAAATTTCAGAAAACTAGGTATATTTTATTCAAAGAGGATTACATGCCCAACCTCATAAGCTCCTTCAAAGTCACTCTTTATTAAATAGGATTTTATCTGTAATATCTGAAGACCTCTGCAGAATCTACTCACATTATTTAATAAGAGTTATCTTGTTGGATTATTTCACATTTCAGCAGATACAGTACTAGCAGCCAATGTAGCAAAAGAACTCTATTTTGGGGGTACTCAAAAATACATAGTTCTATAGATTATATAGCTGGGCCCATGTTAATACCTTTTACTGAAATTTCTGGTGTTTTTCAAATGTTCTATCAGTGACTCTAAGGAAAGGACTTTTTAAAAAATCTCATGTAAGGTTGTTTTCTTTAAGTAGGAGAAAGCTGGTAGGTATGATGCAGTGTTCATGCTAAAATGAGATTTACTTACACTTAGGAATAAGAAATGAAGCAGAAGTATTCAGAGTCTGACATGCTATATTTCTTTCATTTTTTTTCTGTCTCCATTCCCTACTCTGCCAAATTTGTAATCTTTAACATATGTTCATTTTACAGACTGCTCAGTGTAGAACAATTGCTGTTTTTTATCTTTTGCAGTACTGGGGTTTGAACCCAGGAATGGTTATCTCCAGTCCTTTTTATTTTGAG